TCACTATGTAAGAATTCATTCACCATGTAAGAACTTGCTCGTTATGCTTCAGAAGATTGGAGACTGACGAGAATTAGGCTTGAGATGGATTAATGATTGTGCATTGAGCATTGACTCCCCTATACAGAATTTTATTGTTGTTAACAACCATTTGATCAATAAATATGAGAGATGCCCTCTCAAAAAAAAAAAAAAAACATCAGAGTATAGAAAAGTTGACATAAAGATGGAAAATTGTTTAAACACACACAAAGACTCACTCACAAATATGGTTGCTGCACACTGTCCTGCAACACCTGCTGTGAAAGGCCACACATCTGAAGAGAAGACAAGGAAGCACATTTGGGATAATCTGGTATCCCAGCCTCTTTTCTAGGCTAGGTCAGTGTTTACCAGATAATTATTCGTGGTAAATGTGTCTACGAGCTTGACTTATTAGGCGCTCTAATCTATCATCTCTATTGTAAAATTGATCTGTTCATGAAAAATGAAAACAGCCATTACATTTTTACTCTAACCTCCATTCTAAAGCTTTGTTCATACTTGTTAGCCATTCTGGAACTGCTTAAATTAGTGCAGCCTTTTCAATTGAATATCAAATACACTCTTGGGGTAGGCTGGCCTCTTCGTCACCCAAAGTGTTCAGACAGGTCCTGGAAATCAGTGATATGGGGAAACACCATCATTAATACAAGTTTTTCATTAGTAAGAGGTTCTCTAAAATCTGTCTTGTCTTCTGGTTTCTCCTCAGTGAGCTGCTTGGGGGTTTGGTTCTCCTCTGGGAGGACAAAAGTTTTGTTCCAGGTTGTGAGCTTCTTGGAGAATTAGAGACATTGTCTCCATGCTCCAGGAAGGAGTAATCTCTGTAGAGCAGGTGGGCACATTCAGCAGATATTTCAAAAGTGTCAAAAACCTGCTGATCATCCCCTGTCTCCAAAGAAAAGTTTAAAAGCACATAATCCCCAGGCCATTTGTCAAGTGTCTGGTGACCCCTGGAGCTCTTATTACACACGTGCATATTCTGTCCACCTGTGCTAGGAATGATGCTGGGGTATCAGATTATCCCCAGTGCACCTTGTCTTCCATTTGGCTCTGGATCTTCACTGCAGGTGCAAAGCACAAGGCAGGAAGTGTGCCCCCAGCTTGTCTTGGAGGAATTGGATTCTATTAAAATGAAACCATTAAAGCTTCAAAAAAAAAAAAAAAAAAGCTGTTAAACAACTACTGCTTTAATAATGGTTTTTTAAAGTAATTAAAACCAAAAAGATAAAATGTCATTGAATTTCTCCTTACCTGAGAAAATTCAAGTCCATTAGTACCTCTTATTAAAATAACACTACCTTTTGTTAATATAAATAGATCTTTAATCACATTTTACTAAGCGTTACACTTATCTCAATTGATTCATATAAAAATCTATCTTATAGACGTCATAAGACATTATCTCCACTGTATAAATGGGAAAAGTGTGGTTCAAAATGTGTGGTATCTGTCCAAAGTCACACAGCTAGTAAATAGCTGAGCTAGAACTAGTATCTATGTATTTTCAACCCTAATACAATATTTCTATCACTATGCCATGCTTTCTCTCTTATACTAGCCAACATAAGTCAAGTGATTATATCAAAGTACCTTTCATCCAATATGTATTCAAAAGATGCTTGCCATTTTGAATCAAATATCTGGACTACTCTTAGAACTGTCACTTATGGAAGAATCCACAGTACAACATGTGAAAATGAATTCAAAGAAACCATGCTAGTCTTCTAAAATGACCCCATATACACAAGGAATTACATATATGAGAAGATATAAACTAGGTCCCAATTTTACTATATTAAACAAAACAATTATATAAAGAAATGCAAATTAGTACTGTATACTGGACTCATATAATCTATTTTAAATGAGTACCTACTGGAATACAGATATTAATAGCTAAAATTCATAAAGGAAATATAAACATCAATGTAAGGCTCAGAAACCCAAAAGAACAATGCAAAAGCCATGTTTCTTTAATATACCTAACAACTGCTCATGAAATATTTTAGCTTTCCAATGAGCAATAACAGCAAGGGGCTTTGATAATCACTTGTGTTACAAAAAAGTAAAAATGAGATATAATGATCTGTGGGTATCAAGCCCACCAATTCCCTTACCTTTATATATCTTTTCAGCATTACACAAGTGAAGTGTGAAGTAGGTATCAAGGAGTTGATGGCCATTTTTACTAACAATGTTCCGAGCAGCAATGTTCCGAAGATGTCTAAGACGCCGCTAAAAAATAACAACAAAAAAAGAACATTCAGCGTCTTCCTCCTATAAAAGTTTCTGTAAGTCACAATTCAAAAATGAAATACAGTAAGTTGTCCTGGTCATTTATTTGTTGAACTAGCAACCTTAGCCCAGTCTCTTATTTATACCTCAGCATCCCCTCTGTCAAATAGGGATTTTACCTGCCCTATGAAATATTTTTGCAAAGCATAAATGTTGTATAAGGGCTCTATTCCCATAGAATAGTGTTAGTATTTCCTGGAACATTAACTAGTAATTTGCTTTTTTCCCCTTCAGAAGGATGCTGGTAGACATGCCAAGTCCATTTCATACCAACAGAAAATCAGCACTTACTACATATATACACCCTTATTCCTACTTCAGTCTAGATGCCAGATCATCAGTACAAACAAGAAAAGACGCCAAAGCCAAAAAATAACTCACTGGTCACTCCATCTAGCCAATAACCCAACTATTATAAGCTTACAGTCTCACTTGACCAGCAGCCAACCAATCTCTACTTCCTAATTAGGCCTCCTTCCCAACAATGTCTGCAACTAGGATGCATGAATTATTTGGAGTCACAAGTGTTAGAAAGGCAAAAGCTCCATAAGCAACAGAAGAAATCAACAAAAACACAAAATGATGGATAGCCAAATCATCTCCTACCAAAAAGAGAAAATGTTAAGTCTGAGCACATCAGATTTATTCCCAAAAGCTAGTCCCCCATGTCAAATGATTATTCTCAGAGCTTAAAATAGAAACCAAGTGTTCAGTTTTAAAATATGCTAAAAACTCCCCAGGCTGAAAGACAGCCCACTCTACTGAGCTAAGTCCATCTTCAGTTACACGTGCAGTCAACCAGAACAGTACAGTTCTTTCTTTTCCAGCACAAACCAACCCAATCCTCTCTCCCAATCTAGAGATTAAGATGCTTTGAGAGAGAAGGTTATTGTCTAATAAATTTGTTTAATCCTCTAAGTATGAAAAGCCCCAAATGTATTTACAATAAGTCCTAGGGCTTAGTCTAAAAGACTAATTTTTCCATAGTCTGTCAATGTTTTCTATTTCATACCCTGGAGTATAGCCACTATTTCTCCTACTACATATATTTCGTTAGTCCTCTCAGTTAATATTTCAAAGAAACGGAAATCATTGACTATGTATACACAATAATCACATCTACTTTGCTCTAAGTTTGCAATCTTGGTTCTCTGTTCAAAGGCTTGAAAACATACCAAAACCTCTAGAATAAAGTACAAACTTCTCACTATTGCTTTCAAAGCCCTGTGCAGTCCAACATCTCCATATCCCACCCTTACTTCCCACTAGGTCTTACACATGCCAAACCCCAGTCATACATGATTGCTTAAGATTCCATGAAAAATATTATGCACGTTCCTAGCTCCATGCTTTGCTAACGCTAGCCTCGCAATCTAGAGTACCGTTCTGTTTAATGAGATCCTATTTCTACCTCAGCATTTAGGAGTTACGATTCCTCCTTCCTCATTCTCTAACTGGAATTATGGCTCCTTTATTTGAATTACTAAGAACTCTGCTTCTATCTCTACTGTAACACTTATTTCATTCAGCCTTGTATTATAAGTAGTTGTTTACGATTATCTTCCCTATTAATCTAGGAGAAAAAGACTTGGTGACAGTGATCATTACCATCACTATACATACTGTTAGCATTTATTAAATGCTTACTATGTGTCATGTACTATGCTAAACACTTCATACATATGGATCTTATTTAATCCTCATAACAACCTTATGAGGTTAGGATTATTCATTATCACTTATTCATCTCTTTATCCCAACATTCCTAAGTGACCAAATATAAACAAAGAAACAAAACAGTAAATAATGAGGGGTATCTCAAAAGAAGGAAAAAGAAAAAGCAAAGGGGTTATACCTGTAAATATAGATGTATATATGTATACACTTACCTCTCCTATATCTATATATTCCTAATAGATACAATATAGTCTTTATACTCCTCTATTACTACAGAGGGCAGGGCAATAATCTATCCTTCAACTCAAGAAAATAATTTTATGACAAGTACAAGATAATGGAACTGACTGTCTTACAAAGCAATATGAAGGGCTTGGACAGAGACTGAATCTATAATGGATGCATGGAGATTGCTGACGAGATGGTCACATTATGTAGGAAGTTAGTACAATCAGCTCCAAAGGGACCTTCTGACTCCAAGCTCTAGGATTGTAAAATCAGCAATGGAGTCCACAAACACTCAACTGGATGGATTACCAATGTTTCATTATTATTTCTGTGCTTCCCTCCACCCACATGGCTAAAGCAGAACCAAGCACATCAGGGCATTTTATAGGAAGGTTTACAAAGACACAAAACTCCTCCACAAAGTAACCACCTACCATTAAAAGTGTGGACTTTGGGTGTATGACTTTTTGCCTTTTCCCTTATTTTATTTATTTCAAAAGCATTGAAGTAAATATTCTCATTAAGCTATGATTAATTAAAATGTACGATGCTCCCAGCAGCTGGAACAAATGAAGATAATCAATTCTTCATGGGTAAATTACTGATATAATCTGTGAAAGACTATAAATGTACACATGAGCCCTCTTATGCCCTTTGTCTTGAATTCTTCTTTAATAATAATCATTCTAATTTTATTATACAGTTTGTATTTTTTAATGCTAAACTGTAATAAAGTGGGGTTTAACTAATAATAATGTGCCAATGTTATTTTTTAGTTTGACAAATGAAAAATGGTAATGTAAAATGCTAATGCTAGAAGAAATGGAATGAAGGAAATTCTCTGTATGGTCTTTGCAAATTTTCTGTACATCTAAAATTATTCTAAAATAAAAAGTTTATTTTTTAATTTTTCAGAATTAGTAGGAGTAGAAGAGGAACAAAAAGAATGCCCATAACACATTTCCCAAGTATTAAATAGAACTCCTCTCCATTTCTACCATTCACCTCCTTCCTTCTACCAGTCTCCCAACCTCCTTCCTTCCTACCCTTCCCCTAAAATTTAATGCAATTAAAAAGAAACAGAAAGGTTAAACCAAAAACTCAAAACAATGATTTAAGGGAGTGAGAATAGGTTGGAGGGACCATAGATAAAAACAAGACATCTCCGAAACTTGTTTATGTAGTTTTGACTTCTGTATCATATAAACGTTTTACATACTCAAAAAAATAAAGTTAAATCAATAAGGAAAAGTTTAAACTAAACCCAGTCCACAATATAATAGCAATACCAAAAATTACCACCAGTTTCAGGAATCATTTGCCCAAATTACTACCCTATGATCCAAAGAAGTATTAAAGAAATCAGAGTGACCTGAAGGATCCTCTCCGGTTCTCAATCCCAGAAGATTTATACTTAAAAAATTACATGTAACTAATTATACCTAATATGGAAACATGGTTAGTTCTAGACATTTGCCACCCTCCCTAATTAGAATGTAAGTTCTATGAAGGAAGAGGCTTTATTTACAGTTTTATCTCTAGATGAGTACCTAGCAAATAGACACACCATTAATGTTTTTGAATGAATCAATAAATGTTTTTGAATGAATCAACCTGTTCAAGAGTCTTGGTATGACCTATGCCTTGCAATGGTCCTGAGTAGCCTGGAAACCTAAGTGGATTCTGACCCCACCCACAAGATAGTGGGACCTAAGAATTGAAAGTAGGGTAAAGTCTTAGCAGTACTTCTGGCCTACAGCAAAACCTCAGGACTCACCTAACTTCAACTGCTCTAGGGTATATAATCCCATGGTAATTCATGACCTAGTGGCACCATCCAGCATAAATACACTGCTCTTGACCTTGTCTAAATAGAATCAAATATCAGATTATCTCTTCAAATGGTCCATCTAAAGATAGCTAAAAATCAATCTGTCTTATGATCTAAATTGGCTCAAGTATCTCAGAAAAGTAAAAATATTCTGAATAATTAAAATCTACACAGATTTTAGAATTACTCTTTAAGATAACATTTCATGTAATTTTCTTTACCAGCAATCTCTTTAAACTTTCTCAACTACTCTATGCTTTCATGGTTATAAAACACTCTTTGCGTATTGTGGGGAAAATGGAACTTTCTGACCAGGATTCCTGCCTGGCCTTAGTAGCGTCCATTGTGTATATAATAAGAGGCTGTTTGCACATTTATGAGATGTTTACTGGCGACAGAGCCATTGGTAAGTCATGGAAGTACCTTCCCAGCGGAGGGGTAGAGAGGAAATACCCATTCTCTCCTCTCCCTGTGTTCCTGGTACATAATTGGTCAGGCATCTGCCAGTCACCAGAGTTCCTCCCCCTGCTGGAGCAGGGAAGAAGGGTGGGAAAGCCATGGAGGCCCACTGCTCCTGGAGAATTAAGCCTGAGCATGGGAGCAGATAGTCTGGTGAGTGGGGAGCAAGGAGATACTGAGATCTACTGCCTAGAGGATTAAGTTCGTGCTAGGGAGCAGAACCTGTAGCCAGCCTGGGGAGCACATTCAAGCCAGCTGCTGCGTGTACCAAGCTGCCTGTGACTGCCGTGAGAATACACATGGCAGCCCTCTCTACCCCCAACTTTTTGCCACAGCCTTTATTCAGTCTTAGCAAATTCACAAAGAACTTGCCCCATGTGGGGAATCCCCCCCCTTCCCAGAGCTACATGTATCATTCTTCAATGGCAGCTGTAGGCAGCCAAGTTGTGCTCTAACAATATCCACTCCCAAAACTAAAGCTGAAGAGATTTTTTTTTGGTATCATTAATATACAAATATATGAGCAATTATGTGGTTACTAGATTCCCCCCATTATCAAGTCCCCACCACATTCCCCATTACAGTTGCTCTCCATCAGAGCAGTAAGATGCTATAGAGTCACTACATGGCTTCTCTGTTAAAGCTGAAGAGATTTTACTTTTTAAGTTAGAATTAATATGGCTTAAAATCTTTGAATCACTACCTATAAACATTCTATACAGAGGTTTAAAACATTCTATGCAGA